AATATTCCAGTAATGTCAGTTTCATTTCACCATGTTCTGTTATGATATACTACCTTTATCATTTCTCATTCAAGTTATCTGTGTCTTCTCTTTCTTTTATTTGGTTAAGTTTACCAGTGGTTTGTCTATTTTATTGACCTTTTTGAAGAACAAGCTCCTGGTCTTGTTGATGGTTTCAGTTGTTTTTCTGTTTTCTATGCCGTTCCTTTCTTTTGTTGACTGTGGGGTTAGATGGCTGTTCTTTTTCTGTTTGATGGAGTTGCTAAGTTAAGTCATTAATTTGTCTGCTTTCTTTCATTTTTATGTCTTTGCTTATTGCTATGAACTGTCCCCTGAGGACTTCCTTACCTCTGTCACAGAGGTTTTGGTATAATTTTCATTTTCAGTTGTTTCTAGGAACTTTTTGATTTCTTCTATAACCCAATTGTGTTCTAGCACAGTGTTTTTTAGCTTCCACATTGGTGGTTTTATAAGCTTTATGCTCTTGTCATTAATTTCTAGTTTTATGACATTGTGGCCTTAAATGAAACTTTGTAATATTTTGATATTTTTTGTTTGTTGAAGCTTGCTTAGTATTCTAATATATGATCAGTTCTGGAGAATGTACTATGTGCACATGAGAAGAAAGTAATTTGACTTTTAGTTGAGTTCAATATCCTGAATACATCCATAGCTTGAGTTGGCTGATTGTATAGTTTATATCTTCTGCATCTTTGTTAAGTTTCTTTCCAGTTTATCTATCCTTTGATGAGAATAGTATGTTAAAGCCTTCTACCTTTTTCTTTTTTAGAAAAAGTCTCCTACCATTATTATGATTCTTATGTTTTCTTCATTTTCCTTCTGTTTCCTATCTTTTTGTTGTGTTGTTTTTTTTTTTGTTTTCATTCTTGTATATTCTCATTGAGGTTCTTTCTAACAGCTCACTGAGTCTTTGTTCTGTATCTTCTGTCCTGCTTTTTTGTCCTCCCAGCATGTTGGAAACTTCTACCATCTCAGTCTTGGTATTCTAGATTGTGTTTTCATGCATTTCTGTTATTTTCAGTATTGTGTTGGCTGTACCCTGTCTTGTGATGCTTGCTTTAAGTTCTTGTACCTCTTTACTATAGTTTCAATTCCATCTTTTGTAATTTCTTTAGTTTTTCATATTTCTCTATGTCAACATATTTCTTCTGGCTCTGTCTCTCGGAAGTATTTATTTATAGCTTCAATTCGTTTTTTCTAGCATTTCCACCTTATTCTGTAACTTTTCATATAACTCCACATCAATATATTGATATATATTAGTTCTGCAGTATGTTCTGCTTTCATAGGAAAAGACTTATTTTGTTTGAAGCTGCTTGCTGCTTTCTTGACATTATGTGAAATTTTTTTTTCTTGGTCTGTGGTAGGCCATTTCTATTGTATCTGTGTAGGTTGTTGACAGTTTATGATTGTCAATTAGCCACAGGCTTAAAGTGTTTGTCTATGAGTTTGGGCAACTTGCTCTATTGGAAATCCTTTCTGGGCCTGTGGAGTGAGAAAGTTTGTGTTTCCTAAAATTTTTCAGATCCTCTCTGGTCTGCATTGCCACTCTGCAGGAATCTCACCTTATTGTATTCCAGGATCCTGAATGTTTTTGTGTGTTTGTTTCTTTGTTTGTTTGTTTTACTCTCTGATGTGCAGAGTGGCAATACCAGGTACCTGACCTGGGATAGTTTCTTCAGAGGAAGGTAGCAGGGATCTCCCTCCCTCACACTTCAATATGCTGGCTCTGGTAGTGAGTCTCTTGCTGATTGTAACCCCTTTACTGAAATTCTTTTGTCATCTTTGGTCTGTGGGCTGGCTTCACAGCAACCAGATATTCCATCTGGAGCAGTTTTCCTCCTGGGGAATTTCAGGCCCCTCACTCTCCAGCACCACACTTACTGACACTGGAAGTTAGTATTTCTTCTGGTTCCATCCCTCTCTCCTGAAGTATATGTTCTTCTTAGGTCTACAGAGTGGGATCATCAGGTTCCCAAGCTGGAACCGTTTCTGTCCAAGAGTGTGACAGGAGGACAGGAAGTTCCCACCCTATCATTTCAATGTGCTAACTCTGGGATTTATTCTTTCCTCTAATTGCAGCCCCTCTCCTGAAGTCTCTTGTCCTGTTGGTCTGTGATGTCCTCTTGGCAGCCAGGTATCCCACCTGGAGCTGTTTCGCCTCCCAGGGCATTGCAGGCCCCTCACTCCACAGCACCACAACCTGCTGCCTCTGAGAGTGAGCCTCTTTCCTGGTTTCAGGTCCCTTTTCTGAAACCTTTTGTCTTCTAAGGTCTGCAGAGTGGGATAATCCAAATATCTACTTTTTAAGGTGTATAATTCAGTGTTTTTAAGTATATTTGAAAAGTTATATAACCATTAATACCCTTTAACTGAGAGATTTTTTTTTCACCTTCAAGAGAAACCCTGGACCTAATAGCAATTTGTTCCCATTTATATATCCCACTAGCTCTTGGTAACTACTAATCTACTTTCTGTCTTTATTAATTTCTCTGTTGTAGATATTTCATATAAAGGGAATCATTGGCCAAGTGGCATTTAGTGTCTGGTTTCTTTTACTTAGAACAGTGTTTTTATGGAATATCCATGGTTTAGCATGTATTGATAATTATTTTTATTTCTGAGTAGTAGTATATCATATTGTTGGGATTTTTGTGCATCAGTGAATACACATTTGGATTGGTTGCTCATTATGAATAATGCTACAATGGGAATTTGAATATACATCTTATGTGTGTATATATGTGCACTTATGTTGTCAGTTCTTATGGTCACATAATGAAGAATAGAATTGCTGGATCATTTAATAACTATACATTTAATTGTCTGAGGAACTGCGAAATTGGTGTTATAAAATGAGCGTAGGTACTATGAGGATAGTCAAGTTTGACGTCCTTATTAACAACATCCACAGTATAAAACTAACCTAAAAAGTCAGGCATGGTCTCCCGTGCTTCTGCATCTACTTCTATTCATTCCGACACCAATCTTACTGCTTGATTGGGTCTGAAATCAGTTGCAGTGACTACACAGACTTTACGTAACCACAGTTCTGGAGTTTACTAGGGAATTATGATTCAGGTTGGTAGCAGGATACAATCCATTAGTCTCTAAAGCGTCTCATGTGTGGTGCCAGGACATTTGTCTTTCAGCCTCATTAATTAGATTGGTATTACAAAATTCTTCTAGTCCTGCCATTTATTTTCTTTTTCCTTAGTACTCCAGCAAGCTTGGGTGAAAGTTTTTGGCTCTGGTTCTGTAGGCAGCAATCCCAAGTCAACTCTGACTCTTGTCAACCTCTAGTTTTCTGCTGAGGCTGCTGTTACTCTGTGTAGATCGGGGTCTATCAGGCACAGACAGCATATCTGGCCCTGAACGATGCATACTGTTTCCTCTTCCTTGTTGATGTTGAGATTCCTAATTTCTGCTGCTGAAACCACTAAGTTTAAACCTAATATGATGGTGAGACTAACCAATCTGCCTGAAAATATATCAAAGACAATGGCTAGGAAAGTAATTTTTAACAATATAACCTTGACCCCATGGATGTCAAGATAACATAACCATTTTACATTCCCACCTGCAGTGTATGAAGATAATGCATTTCTCTGCATCCTTGTCAACATTTAATATTATACTTTAATAGGACTGTGTTAAGTATAAAGTAGTAGTTCATTGTCATTTGTTTCCTGATTCTTTTGCCAATTAAATTTAACTTGGAAACAAAGTTTACCTTAGAAAATAATATTTTTATTAATAATAATAATAATACTGATAATACTTTGTCCTTATTATTTTATTGTCTACAGTTACTTTTCTATTCCTATTCTTATTTTCTCAGTGTCAGTTTTAGTCCATACTTTTGGAACTATTTCAAACCAGTGGCAACCCTTAGGAAGTTTGTTCTCAGTGAAGTCATAAGATTAGTGTGGGAATTTTACCTAGCAACTTTGTTGTGGTTACTTGCCGTAAACTTGGCCTCCAATTCATGGAATCGGATTGTGGTGAGCCCCACAGGGTTTTTATCGACATCTTTTGGAAGTAACTGACCAGGCTTTTCTTTCTACTGTTATGTGCTGTTGAGTTGGAACCAATACATAGCTGACCCTCTATTGGGTTTTCTGAAGCTGTAAATCACATGAGAGAAGACTGCCCATCTTTATCCAATGTAGCAACTAGTATATTTGAACCGCTTTCCTTGGTCTGGCAGCACAACTCCTTACTCACTGAGCCACCAGAGACCCCTTAATGGAAGCTCCAGTACAACCTATTCAGCATCACAGCAATGGAGAAATTCATCTCCATTGACAAACAAATGGTGACCCACCAATTTTTCCACAGGAGAAGGATGGGCAGTCACTCCTCCCAAGTGATTTGCTGCCTCTGAAAACCTACTGGAAGATAAGTTATGGGTGGTTGATTCCACGTGATTTTCTGCCTCTGATAATCCACTCGAGGGTCAGCTATGCATCTGTTCTGTCTCTACAGCACACTACAGCAATCTTAACAGAAGCTGACCTTCAGGACATTTTTCCTACAAAGCACCTGGATGGGTTGGACTGTTAATTTTTTGTTAGCAACTGAGATCTTAACCCTGGCATCAACGTGGCTCCTCCATTTATGTGCTAAAGGCTACAAATATAAGCCATGACCACCACTAAAACTTACAAAATATTATATGAAATTCAGAGGTTAGATCATCTATAGATTCTAAAATACAGTCTGTTTTGGATGATATTGACTCACTTGTGACTGAAGCTTGAGCAGTTGTGTTCTGTACAAGTTGATTTAAAAGAACATTTTAATTGTTGATTTTGTACAATGAGTCTGTCTAACTAAATGCTAGGAGAGCTTATGTGCAGTTTTTCTCATTTGTTCTTAACAGAGGACGTATATTTCAGGCCATTGGACTTGAGATTTTGCTGATTCATTTTAAAAAAAAAAACTTTCTCTTTATTGTATCTTCTCTTTTTCTGCAGGATGTTTTCACTCCAGAATGCAAATTTAAGGAATCTGTGTTTGAAAACTACTATGTGATCTATTCTTCCACACTGTACCGTCAGCAAGAATCAGGACGAGCGTGGTTTCTGGGACTCAATAAAGAAGGTCAAATTATGAAGGGGAACAGAGTGAAGAAAACCAAGCCTTCATCACATTTTGTACCAAAACCTATTGAAGGTATGGAATTAATGGGTTTTTCTCTCCTTTTAAAATTTGACCTGCATGTGAATAGCACTTGACCTCTTCTCTTTTAATGAGTAGGGTTTACCTGGAAGACTTGTTCCTGCTCCTATCTATGACCCATTGAACCAATTTAAGGTCAAGATTCAAGTAAAGATTCTTTCCTCATAATTCTGTTATCAGTAAAACAAAAAACAAAAAAAAGTAGAATATTTGATACTTATTTGTACCCAACTATCAGAAAACCCTCTTTTTTCTTGACACTTTGTTGTTGTTATTTGTCATTGGGTTAAACAGACCCATAGCTGTTGCCCTTCAGCAGGTTTTCAGAGGCCATAAATCACAAGGGAAGAGAATAGCTACCGTTCTCCCAAGAAGTGACTGGTGGATTTGAACTATGTACCTTTTCATTGGCAGCAAAATTCCTACAGCTAAACCACAGAGCTCTGTTGGCACTTAAAATAACAAAACATGTTTGAATCCAGAGGCTAGAAATTACTAAAAATGAAAAAAAAATAGCTACTTGGGTTGTAATTTCTTTGGTGAACCCAATCATTTAATTTCTCAGTCTATATTAATGAGAATAATATTACTATCTTGCTTTGATAGGTAGATTTTACATCCCAATATCTTCACTTTTGTGAACTAACCTAACAACATACTTTTATCAGTTTTCTTTGTAGTACTATAAGGAAATAAAATAGGATGGTATTTTCTGTGATCAATAAATATTTACAGAATTAAATTCTATCATTCTTAGTTGAAAGCCTCTGCTTCCCTTGGTGACCTAATGCATTATTTACTTATTTCAATGGAATAAATAAGATTATGCCAAAGAAATCTGTATTTGGCAACCAGGATGTTTTCCTCAAAACTTCCTTAGCTAAGATAAGAATATACCATTGGGATGACTCTATTTACTGAATGTACTTGAGATTTTTCTTCTTCTCCACACAGTCAAATGCCTTTGCATAGTCAATGAAACACAGATAGACATTCCTCTGGTATTCTCTGCTTTCAGCTAAGATCCATCTAACATCAGCTACATAACAACAACAACAACAATAACAACTTGAGATTTTTAGTTTAGATTAAGATATAAATAGGAGCTCAAGAATTTACCAACATAAATTCTTTTCTTCTAACAAGTAAAATATAGTCATTTGAAACAAAGTTCACTTTCCTGTGTAAGATGAGAAAACAAGCACTTGTATGAGTTAACCAGGCTTCCACAAGATATGGTCAGGACACCAGCCAGGGAGGCTCAGTTTGTCACATAACCCATATAACCACAACCATCAGAACACACTTATTACATTTCTGTTCTTTTCAAAGTATGACATGTGGTTTTGACGTTCAGGATTGACATTGTGACTACAAGGACCTTGAGTGTGTCAGAGATGGTGAGGATGGCACAGAATAGGACAAGCATCAGATTCACTGTCAGAGGGTCAGTATGCATCCCAGACAACTAGATAGCACCTGACAACAACAAAAACATCCCTCTGCAGTCCCCTCTCCTACATCCTATGATGTTAGTCCCACAGAATTGAACTTTCCTGCCACAGGCTTTCTCCTCTTAGGGCCTCATGTTGTTTTTCCTTTCCATCACCATCCCTCCCACCACTTACATCCACTCACCTCCCTGGAAAATGCCTATTAATCTTTGTAAAAAATTAATTTAAGAGTCAACACTTCTATGAGTGCCTCCCTAGTATTCTTTAAGTAGAATTAATCATTGTGTCACCATGTCATTGTATACAACTCCCTCATAGTAATTTTCACCTTGTAAGACATTTGCTTATTAGCCACAGTCTCCTCTTAATTCACTGTTTGCATGAAGAGAGCATGTTTCCTTTTTCCTCATGTCTCCCTGGATCTCATATAAGACTTGGCCTGTAATAGAGAGATATTCAATAACTAGCTGTCAAACAGGTAAGGAGAGACATAAATTCTCAAATTATTGAATGCATAAGTATAAAGATACATAAGTACAAAGTATAAAAATATGCTCCTGAGATACATATACTATACTTGCATATTTAAATTTGTTTCTCAATTCATTGCTGTCAAGTCAGAACAGACTTAGGTAACTTTCCATTTGGCTACTGTTGCTGTCAATCACGCTCAAGGAAATTGGCCATCTTTCTCCTACTGGAGCTACTGATAGTGGTTTTGAACTGACAGAGTTCAAAACTGATCGGGGTTAGCAGATTAACTCTAACAGCACTAATATAAACTATAAAATGCACACTGTTCACATTACAGAAAATGATAGTGAGATTTAGTAAAGAGCTTTTAATTCCAACAAAAAGAAGAAATCTGATATATAACTGTGCTTTCAAGATGAGGCTAGACAATTTGAGATGAGAGGTGAGAAGTGAGCAGGCAGAGAGACATTCTCCATAAGATGGACATCAAAGCAGACAAGCAGGCTTTGCAAGGCTATGCAGAGGGTACTATGAAGTAGGTATTTCCAGTTAAAAAAAAATATGTTGACACCTAAAGCAAAAAAAAATTTGTTTTAAATGTAATTTTAACCATTACATCCATTTTGTCTATTTGAGTTTACTTACTTTTTTTACTGTAACAGTAACATTGCCTCATTTTAAGAGTTTTTAGAACATTTAAATTGCACTTTATACAACTGAAAAAATATAAACACGCATAGCCTACTCTCATTATCATAACTACTGTTTACCCTTTAGGGAACTCTGGAGACATAGTCCTTAGGGAGTTGTATTACCCAAATGCCACAGCTTTCTGTTGGTTCAAATCTACTAGTAGCTCTTAGGATAAAAGAGAGATAATCTTTTCTTGTGTAATTTAAAGCTTTGGAAGCCCACTAAAGAGTCAGCTATGAGTTGGGTCCAATTCAGTGGCAATATGTTTTATCTACATTTTAGTCAAGTTTCCTCTCGGGTTTGGATGAAAATACAGACATTTCCAAGAGAAATATAGGCAATCCTCATGTTCCTGGTTCCAAAGCTGCCTTAATTTTATGCTTTCTTCTGTATTCTGGAATACACGTGGAATGTGCAAACTATATTCTTAGCTATATAAGTTAAATTAGATTAGCCTGTATGTAACTCAAAACCCAAATCAAAGGCAGATTAATCAAACAAGATTTTATTCTTTCACACATCTAGATACCTATTATCCTGGGGCTGGTCTTAAAGCTTCTAGTTCTTAGAGACCTTGGCTCTGTCCGGTTGTTAGAGCTCCTCTCTGTGATGTTGTCATAACCTGTGAGGACTGCACAGTTGTATGAATGACCTTGGATGTCTCCCCTCTCTCATGGCCTAAGCCAGCATCTGTCCTCCAGTCACAGACCAGAGGAAGGGTTGAAGAAGATAAAGACAAATCCTATATCTCAAGTTTTCTCTTCAGGATAGTCCCCAGTAGCTGCCATATAATTATTTTATAGTTGGCTTCCCATAACCTAACCATATAGCTCAGGGAAGAATAAGAAATGTCTTTATTTCCAATTGGCAAAAATCCCAAAAAGACTATATGTCGTTTTTGGTTTTAGGTCCCGTTGAGTCAAATATAGCTCATAGTGACTCTTAGAACAACAGATCCGAACCATGTCCTATCCTGTGCCATCCTCACAATCTCTTACACACTCAAGCCCATTGTTATAGTCTCTTTGCCAATCTACTTGGTTAAGGGTCTTCCTCTCTTTCACTGACTCTCTACCTTTCTAACCATGATGTCCTTTTATAAGGAATATGCCCAAAATATGTGAGATGAGGCTTTATAATTTTGCCCTCAAGGAGCACTGTGGCTGCACCTTATCCATGACATATATGTTTGTTCTTCTGGCAGTCCAAGGAATAATAAGTAATCTAAATCCAGTTCCACAGTTCAAGGCCAGTCATTCTTATCTTGTCACCCTTACTCATTGTCCAGCTTTTAGCAGCATAGCAACCAAGACATTGCCTAGGTGGAGCAATGTTTGACTGCTAACTGTATTTAGTTTGAATCCACCTGCAGGCACCTTGAAGAAAATACCTGTCAATACTGAAATACTGAAAGGTGACAGACATTGAAAACACAGTACTCAAAGGCACAAAAAAAAAGTCTGAGTTAACGTAAATTATTTGTTTGGCATGCCAAATAAGTCCCAACCAAACCCATGGCCTTGGAGTTGAGTCTGACTCATGGCAAACCATTCTGTGGCAGAGTAAAACTTTACTCTCTAGGGCTTGTAAAGGTCATAATCTTAAAGAAGCAGATTCGCAGGTCTTTCTTACATAACAATGCTAGATGTGTGTGCCACCCAGGGACTTTCATATCTAAATTAATGTGTAATTATTTAGGGAGAATTTTCAAAGAATGTTTGGGACAACTAACAGCCTTTGATTCCTCTATCCATCTTAATAGAATTCCTCTGATTTACAGATTGATACTTGCTGGTTGTTTTGCTTGTTATTAAGTTAAGCCTTGAAGTGATGTTTTATTGGGGTTTTGGAATGTAGGGGAGAGTAGTCTCAAACTAAATCAGTGAAGGTCCCTAGTCTCTTTGATTTTGGGGGAGAGAGAATTCAGTATAAAATATGTAGAATATGATGAAAATACCTTCCAAAGATGAACACAAAAGCCTAATTGGTTTCAGACTAAAAGCTTTTTTGTTCTTTGTAAATGCCTTTGCTTTTTATCTTAGAGAGGTATTATCTCTAAACAGTATTAGCTACAGCTCTATAAATGCTTATTTTGTACAGGTACTGTTGTAAACATATTTCCACTACTGCTTTTCATTTTTACTCCCATCCTGCTAGGCATATTTTAATTAAAGCCCTATTCAAAAGAAAGCACAGAAACATTAAGTGATTTGATAATTCAAAGTTAACTGGCTCTAGAGATCAAGTGCTTAACCTCTGAGAAGACTGGTGAGATTTGCAATGGTGTAAGAAAGTTCATAGATTTCACCGTGGGATTGATGCCTTTGAATAGTGGTTATGGCTAAGAATACTTAATATCCCATGGATTGCCAA